AGTAGCCTCGCTAGCACCAAGAGCAGCAGCCTCACCAGTACCTGGAGTAGCAGTCTCAATGCCCGGGTCGGGCGGAAAACACCGGTAACAGTCACCCTCATCACTAATAGTCACAGCATATATGGCAGCAAGAATAGCATCAAATTCTAGGTCAAAGATAGCTACTCCCGCCATAGACAGCTCGCCCGAGCGCGGGATCTCAGTGGCCTCAGGGAACTGGTGACGCCAAGCGTCCGTCGAGCGGCCAAAGCAGCGTTGGGTGGGGTGTGCACCTCCGCACTGCTCACCCGCGCGGTCGCCGGTGCGCAGGACGTAGGTGCACGGACCAGTACCCCCACCCCGCTGGCGTGCAGCGTACCACTCACGGAGCTGCTGAGGGGGGGGGGGGGATGTCACGAGTGCGCTGCTACTGTTGGCGCTGGCCACCACCGGAGCCGACCCTCTGCGCAGCGCCACCCCGACTAGCTCCACCTCCTTCGCCTCCGCGTCCTCCTCCGCCGCTACCTTCGCTCCCACCGCCACTGCCGCCTCCGCCTCCGCCTCCACTGCCGCCACCGACACCTCCACCCCCGCCACCACTCCCACCACCACCCCCACCCCCTCCACCGGCTCCACCGCCACCTCCACCGCCCTCGCCAGCTCCTCCAGCGCCCTTGGCCCCCTTGCCCCTTCCTGTGCGGTGCTTCCCCGAAGGGGCTGACGCAGCGCCGACCGACTCGAAACCAACGAGGTCGGCCGCAGCAGCAGAAGCAACAGAGGGCAAGAGGGGGGAGGGAGAACACGCCTCAAAGACGGGGGTGCGGGGGTCACCACGAGAGGCTCCTACAGCGACTATGCTCTTCTCTGCTACTAGGAGGGCCTTCTCAAGGAGGTCAACAGTGAGAGTGGTGGGGAAAACAGAGAGAAAGTGGTCCCTGACTACGCGGAGGGAGTCAGGGAGACACGCGACTATGTAGTAGAGGGTGATGTACATTGGGGGGGGGGGGGTTCTTGGTGCAGAACTCAGCAGGAAGCGCAGCGCGGTAGCGAGTGTCACGAGTGCGGAGGTGCGTAATGAGGTCAGTGACTGTGGGAAAGGCAGCAAGGTCAGGAAAGAGGTACGGTAGCATGAGGCGGCTCAGTGCAGCAGTGGCAGGGGAGGAGTAGCGTGCAACTACAGCGTCGTACAAGGTCTAAGCACTCTTGTACTGGCTAAAGTGCGCACGCTCAAAGGTAGGCAGGTTGCGACGCACAGCAAGACGTGCAGCAGCATTGCGTGTGGCCCACTGTGAGCGAACAGTGGCGTCAGCATCAGCAGCAGGGGCAGGAGAGGCACAAGAGGTGAGGTCAAAGAGGGAAAGACCGTCTGCCCTATCGCACTGTAAGAAAAGCTGCAGGTCATCTATCCAGACATCAAAGTCAATGGCCCGACCCTCAGCGTCAAAAGCAAGGACACTAGGGGTAGCCATGACAGCAGTAGACTAGCAGCGCGAACAATAGGGTAAGGGCAGTGCAGTGACAGAGGCGCTGCTCTTACCGGACAGGGCGGCTCGGGCGGCTCGGCGGTGCGGGCGGCTTGGCTGAAGGGCGACTCGGCGGCTCGGCTGCTGGGCGGCTCGGCGGCTCGGCTGCTGGGCGGCTCGGCAGCTCAGCGGCTCGGCTGCTTGGATGTTGGGCGGCTCGGCGGCTTGGCTACTGGGCGGCTTGGCGGCTCGGCTGCTCGGCAGCTGGGCGGCTCGGCGGCTCGGCTGTTACGCGGCTCGGCTGCTCGGCGGCTCGGCTGCTCGGCTGCTGGGCGGCTCGGCGGCTCGGCTGCTTGGTGGCTCGGCGGCGGCGGGTCCAGACTCAGGGACGGTGGTGGGACCGGGAGGAGGCCGCGTCGGGGCCGGGAAGGGCGGCGCCGTGGCCGTAGGAGAAGGGCCGGGAAGGGCGGCGCCGTGGCCGTAGGAGAAGGGCCGCGACGGGGCCGCTGAAGGAGGCGGCAGAGCCGCTGAAAGGGCGGCGAAGGGGTTGCTGTAAGAGGCGGCGACAGGCCGTAAGGGGAGGCGGCGAAGCCGCTGAAAGGGCGGTGACGAGGCTGCAGGTGAAAGGGCGGCGACGCGCCCCGGGCGGGAAAAAAAAGGGCGGTGGGCCCTAGGAACAGTTCCCACTAGGGAACCTGCTCGATACCATGAGAAAAAGAATACGAGAAATGAATGAACTATGAAAGAGTTCGGTACAAGTACTAACCCTAATTGGGTTGTACCCCTTATTGGCTACCCCAATATAGCCTACACAAATATATAAGCTATAATGTTCTGATAATTTGCACCTAATGAGCCACGTTGACCACGTGCTACCACGTCTGTCGACTTCGCCACAACAGCCTCGGCGACTTTCGCGCACCTCCGCAGAACCTCGTCGAGCAAGTAACTCAATTGACCGGACAAATTCCCCGACAACCCTGCAGGTCGATGACCTTTGTTATCGGAGGTCGACGACCTTCGTCGTCGCGGGTCCACGACCTTCGTCGACCAACTTCGTCGACCACCTCAGTCGACATTCTGAAATTCTGGCTCCTCATTGGTCGAAATTAGGGCACATTCGAATTTCTGGCCAAAATTCGCCTATGCATTCGCGAGGGTGCGCAGGATCAGACGCAATCCTGCGAAGATGAACACCCACGAACCTCTGCACCAGCTGCGCCACTTGCACATGTGCACGAGACGTTTGCATTGCACTCGCGGATGCTTTAGTTACTCTTGCATGGGTTCCCTAGTACACCTTGTGTATAGGCAACCCCACCTGTGCAGAAGCTCCATATTTTGCATACTGCACGGGTTCGGTTGCATCTCCCACACATTCGACCACGAAGTCAGTTTCTCCTAAGCGAGCGTGGGACCAACCTCCTTCAACAACCCCGACATTTCGGACTTTGCACGTTCGGCCTACATTTCCGATGCCGAGGCTGCCCAGCGTCGCCTTCGGCTTTCCGATCGCCAAACCTGCACCCAACTTCGGTTTCCCGAGGTTCCATCCTAACTAAGGTAGTCACTATATATTCTCGTGCCTTCATTGTATTTTCAGTTAATTGAGTCGCATCTTCGTTCGTTATTCCACGTACTCTCTTGTGCAACTCATAACACCTTGTATTAGAGCTACTTTCCTCCACCTCGCTTTTCGAGGGTAGTTTGGTGGCACGCGTTGGCTGGTACATTGGTCTGCAAATTGGTTGGCTGCAAGGTTCGTTGATTGTAACCTGCCCGACTCCGATAGTTTTTGCTTTCCTCTTGCCTGAAGGCCATCGATACCCCTCTGCCCACCAGACGAAGCGTGAGACTCATGGACCAAGAAACATTGAACAAGATGTTGGCACAAATGGCAGAGCTACACGCAACAGTGCAAAACCTGTCAGCAGAAGTGACAACGCTATGTGAAGAGAACACCAAGCTACGCAAGACGTGAGGTGAACCATGTCTGAGGCCGCCCGATGAAGAAGGCGAGGGCAACAGTCAAGCGATGAGCAATCTGTTGGACGCGCTCACATGTGACTTTGAAGAAGAAGATAGGCAGCAAGCGGCGACAACGCAAATTGCAGTTACGACCATCAAGATTAAACCTGCAAACTCGCTGTCAGAATATATCTGTAACTGCCTGTACCTATAGTTAGTGTAGTTACTATAAACTTTGTTTGGTGGTGCACCTTCTTTGTTTCTTTGCTATATGTTGTTGCCAACCTATAGTGAAGCCATCTTTCTCCTCTCTCAACTTTCTCGACATTCTCCTTACCCTACAACTCGATCTACTAAGAACCTAAACCATGGCACCTAAGCCAACCTATGCCTAGACTTTAACATGGTATTCAGAGCAGGTACGTTCCTGCTGCCTTCCTGCTTCCGCTGCCTATCGTCTTGCCGTGCGCCACGGGCGCGCGGCGTATTGGCGCACGGCGATTTTCTGCCCGCCGTGCGCCCTGGGCGCGCGGCGTCTTCCTGCCCCGCGCGTGGCCTGCCCTCACGCCGCTTGCGCGCCTGCCTCACATCCACGGGCGGGCCTGATTTGCCCGCCCGTACCCTCCACTTCGTGGCGCCCTGCAAGGCGCCGCTCCTGCTCGTTGCGACGCACCTGCGGGACCCGGGCATCGCCACTCCTGCTCGTCGCGACGCCCTTGCAGGACCCGCAAGGCGTCGCCTTGCTCGTCGCGATGCCACTGCAAGACCCGCGGGGCGTCGCCACTGCTCGTCGCAGCGCCCCCTGGACGCCGCCCCTACTCGTCGCGGCGCCCCTGGGGCGTCGCCCGTGCTCGTAGCGGCACTCCTTGGGCGCCGTCCCTGCTTGTCGCGGCGCCCTCCCCCCTGGCCACCGCCTATGCCTCACCTGCGCCCGCGCCAGCGTTGCAGCCGGGCGCGGGCCTACCTTGCACCAACGCCGCCTCTGGACCTCAGCAGCAGCGCCTGGAGCAGCCGCCCTAGCAGCAGCAGCCCCTGGAGCTGCCGCCCCAACAGGAGCAGCCTCGGGAGCTGCCGCCACTGCAGCCGCCGCCCCAGCAGCAGCAGCGCCTGGAGCAGCTGCCCCAGCAGCAGTAGTGCCTGGAGCAGCCGCCCCAGCAGTAGCAGCGCCTGGAGCAGCCGCCCCAGCAGCAGCAGCCCCTGGAGCCGCCCCCCCAACAGCAGCAGCCTCTGGAGCTGCCGCCACTGCAGCGGCCGCCCCAGCAGCAGCAGCGCCTGGAGCAGCTGCCCCAGCAGCAGCAGCGCCTGGAGCAGCCGCCCCAGCAGCAGCCCGCGGCGCCAACCCCACAGCTGTATGCACCGTCGCTCCTGGACTCGGTACGGCTGCCCGTGCCTGTGCTGCCCGTTGCCGCCTGTTGCTGCCCGTGCCTGTGCTGCCCGTTGCTGCCTGTTGCTGCCCGTGCCTGTGCTACCCGTTGCCGCCCGTTGCTGCCCGTGCCTGTACTGCCCGTTGCTGCCTGTTGCTGCCCGTGCCTGTGCTGCCCGTTGCTGCCTGTTGCTGCCTGTGCCTGTGCTGCCTGTTGCTGCCTGTTGTTACCCGTGCCTGTGCTGCCCGTTGCCGCCCGTTGCTGCCCGTGCCTGTGCTGCCCGTTGCTGCCCGTGCCTGTGCTGCCTGTTGCCGCCCGTTGCTGCCCGTGCCTGTGCTGCCTGTTGCCGCCCGTTGCTGCCCGTGCCTGTGCCGCCTGTTGCCGCCCGTTGCTGCCCGTGCCTGCGCTGCCTGTTGCCGCCCGTTGCTGCCCGTGCCTGTGCTGCCCGTTGCTGCCTGTTGCTGCCCGTGCCTGTGCTGCCTGTTGCCGCCCGTTGCTGCCCGTGCCTGTGCTGCCCGTTGCCGCCTGTTGCTGCCCGTGCCTGTGCTGCCCGTTGCTGCCCGTTGCTGCCCGTATCTGTGCTGCCTGTTGCCGCCCGTTGCTGCCCGTGCCTGTGCTGCCCGTTGCTGCCTGTTGCTGCCCGTGCCTGTGCTGCCCGTTGCTGCCTGTTGCTGCCCGTGCCTGTGCTTCTTGTTGCCGCCCGTTGCTGCCCGTGCCTGTACTGCCCGTTGCTGCCTGTTGCTGCCCGTGCCTGTGCTGCCCGTTGCTGCCTGTTGCTGCCTGTGCCTGTGCTGCCTGTTGCTGCCTGTTGTTGCCCGTGCCTGTGCTGCCCGTTGCCGCCTATTGCTGCCCGTGCCTGTGCTGCCCGTTGCTGCCCGTGCCTGTGCTGCTTGTTGCCGCCCGTTGCTGCCCATGCCTGTGCTGCCTGTTGCCGCCCGTTGCTGCCCGTGCCTGTGCCGCCCGTTGCCGCCCGTTGCTGCCCGTGCCTGCGCTGCCTGTTGCCGCCCGTTGCTGCCCGTGCCTGTGCTGCCCGTTGCTGCCTGTTGCTGCCCGTGCCTGTGCTGCCTGTTGCCGCCCGTACCTGTGCTGCCCGTTGCCGCCTGTTGCTGCCCGTGCCTGTGCTGCCCGTTGCTGCCCGTGTCTGTGCTGCCTGTTGCCGCCCGTTGCTGCCCGTGCCTATGCTGCCCGTTGCTGCCTGTTGCTGCCCGTGCCTGTGCTGCCCGTTGCCGCCCCGTTGCTGCCCGTGCCTGTGCTGCCCGTTGCCGCCCGTTGCTGCCCGTGCCTGTGCTGCCCGTTGCTGCCTGTTGCTGCCCGTGCCTGTGCTGCCTGTTGCTGCGTGTGCTTGTGCTGCCTGTTGCGGCCTGTTGCTGCCCGTGCCTGTGCTGCCCGTTGCCGCCCGTTGTTGCCCGTGCCTGTGCTGCCCGTTGCTGCCCGTGCCTGTGCTGCCTGTTGCCGCCCGTTGCTGCCCGTGCCTGTGCTGCCTGTTGCCGCCCGTTGCTGCCCGTGCCTGTGCCGCCCGTTGCCGCCCGTTGCTGCCCGTGCCTGCGCTGCCCGTTGCCGCCCGTTGCTGCCCGTACCTGTGCTGCCTGTTGCCGCCCGTTGCTGCCCGTGCCTGTGCTGCTCGCGCCCTTGTGCGCTCTGCTCTGCCTGCGCCCTTGTGCGCTCTATTCTGCTCTGTCGCCCCTGCCCCCCCCCCCCCCCCCCCCCCCCCCCCCCCCCCCCCTTCTTCGTCTCCTTGCTGCGCGTGCAGGCGTGGAACGGAGGCTATGGGGGTGGCGGGTATGGGGGTGATGGGTGTGTGTGATCCCCTTCCCCTCCTCCTCCTTTCTCTCCCACTGCTGCAGCTGCCGCTGGGGGGGGGTTGGGTGTGAGGGTGTGGGGGATCTGGGGGAGAGGTGCTAGGGTTGTCAAGGAGTGTGGAAGGGGGAGTTGGAGGACTGAGGAAGGTTCCAGGAAGCAGTCGCCTTGGAGCCAGCAGCTTCACCTGCCAGCAGCCTCTCCTCATATAGTCCCTCCTCCTCACTTGCCCTCTCCTTCTGCTGCGCATGGTGTACCCCTTCAGGGGGTGTCTCTGCATTAGCTTCTGCTGCAGGCAGTTATGGGGGAGTGTCAGAATATATCTGTAACTGCCTGTAGCTATAGTTAGTGTAGTTATTATAAACTTTGTTTGGTGGTGCACCTTCTTTGTTTCTTTGCTATATGTTGTTGCCAACCTATAGTGAAGCCATCTTTCTCCTCTCTCAACTTTCTCGACATTCTCCTTACCCTACAACTCGATCTACTAAGAACCTAAACCATGGCACCTAAGCCAACCTATGCCTAGACTTTAACACTCGCCCCCATTCAAACCTACGGACAAGACAACTACAGTGAAAGGGTGGCTCTTCGGCATTGAAGTCTTCTTCACTGCAGCGAACGTATGCCACGCATATTAATTATGTGATTTCTCTTCTTCGAGGCGCAGCACTTGAATGGTGGCGCCACACCTTGGACACGGGGACTCCGACAGGTGTGACACATGCGGCAAACAGGGCCTCGACTTCAGCTAATCAAGTGGCAACATCAATCTTCGGAGTGACCAAGATACGCACGTGGAAGGAGTGGGGCGCAACCTAACGAGATCGCTTCGAGCACGTATCCACCTTGGAGCAAGCTCGCATGAAGCTGCGTGCTTGGTCGCAGTTGGCATCTGTTTAGGACTACATGGCGTTGTTATGACACTCGCCGACCAAGTGGACGACATGGCGATTAGATAAATACATCGGCGGCCTAAAATACGAGATACAGCTCGAGGTGTGCCGATGCCGCCAGTTCCTGGACGCTATACGGTTGGCCGAGTCGATAGACGCGTAGATGCAGTATGTGAGGGCAGGCTCCTGGGAGGGAAACCGTTCTTGCGGCCGGACCCAACGGGCCACAATCAACGGAGTCCATGCATCTGGCCGGCCCTATAAAGGGACGTGTTATAAGTGTGGGAAGACGGGTCACTACATGAGCGACTGCCCCGATAAAACGCCGGTGAACAGGAACGACAGGAAGGAGCAGGGAAATGGAAAGAGTCAGAAATTAACGGGCCTCTTATTGACTGTGCTCCATTGCCCGGACACCAAAATCCACACCGAGTAGTGGTTCCGATTCACACAATCGATCGCACTTGGCCAAATAACGGGGATAACCATGTGGATCACCCTGTGCTGGTCATTGGCACAGTGTTTAAAAATAATCTGAAAATGCTCGTCGATGGTGGGGCCAACCATAGCATCTTCAATGTGGCGACAGCAATAAAATGCAAGTTGCAACTTGACATGGGAAGCCTCTGGCGATTTTGGATGGGAAGCCTCTGGCGATTTTGGAGAAAACACGGACGGTATGGATCGAATCCGGCGACAATTTCGGCTTCAGCATGACGTTTCTTGCGACGACACTGGACGGCTGTGACGTAAAACTGGGACGTGATTACCTGCGATGACACAACCCCATCATCGACTGGACAATAGGATCGTGCAGCATCAGCAAGCACGAGGGGCTAATTAAACTGCCCGCATGGACACCCGACCACATCCAAGCCCAGTGCGTCAAAGCTATCACTATGGCTCGCCACTTCAACCGAGGCACGCAGCTGTTTGCCGTATGTTTGCGCGAGTTGGCGACCGACACCGAAGAACAGGACATCGAGAAGATGTGTGCAGCTGTACCGCCTGATTTAGCAGAGCTGAGTCAACAGTACCCCGTCATCTTCCCCGACGATATGCCACCTGGACTGCCACCCGAACGACCCAAGAACCACAGAATAGAGATGGAAACTGGCGCGCAGCCGACTGTTCGTACACAGTGGCGGTTGACCCTAACCGGAACTCGAGGAGCTACGAAGCCAAATTGATGGCATGTTGGAGAAGGGGTTTATTCAACCCAGTACATCTCCTTTCGCAGCCCCGATCGTGTTCACACTTAAAAAGGATGGCAGGCTTCGCATGTGTATAGACTATCGCACGCTCAGCAGGGCAACAATAAAATCTTGATACCTCATCCCACGCACATAGACCTACTCGATCAACTTCGCGACGCTCGCTATTTCTCGAAAATCGAGTTGCATTGAGGTTACCACCAGATTCGGGTCTTCGCCGATAATTGTTACAAGACTGCGTTTCGCACCCGCTACGGAAGCTATGAATTCCAAGGGATGTTGTTCGGCCTCACAAACACGCCTTCGACGTTTCAACTGACCATGAACAGGGTTTTTCGAGATTCTCTCGACAAGGGAACAACACCTCCGCGACCTCGACGTAGTATTGAAGTGGCTACAAGAGAACCAAGGGCTCTATGTGCGAATTCTTTAAGCATGAGCTGGAGTTTTTGAGACACATCAACTCACACGACAGCATTAAATTTGACCCGGCAAAAATCAAGACTATACATGAGTAGAGGTCCCCGACTAACAAGACGGAACTTCAGAGTTTTCTGGATTTCATGAATTACGTTAAGCGGTTTATCATAAATATGGCGGGGATAACTGACCTGCTAACCAACCTGTTGCACAAGGAGAAGGATTTTGTGTGGGCAGAGAAAGCTGAGGTGGCTTGTCAGGAGTTGAAGATTTTTCTCGTTTCCCCTTTGGTTTTGTGCATCGCCGACCCATCGAAACCGTTCAAAGTCATCACCGACGCCTCGGATTTCTCCATTAGAGCTGTACTCATACAGAATTCCGGGAATCAGTTGCAGTCGATTGCCTATGAGTCACGCAAGCTGCAGTCAGCCGAGCGCAACTACCTCATACATGACAAGGAGATACTCGCAATAATACACGCGTTCAAACTGTGGCGCTGCTATTCGACGGGCACCGACGTCACTAATCGCACAGACCAAAATGTCAGACATACATGACCTAGCCTATGTAGGCTGTAGCGAGGTAGACACTAAGGGGTACTGAATTCTAGGGTTTCACATTTGTATCGCAAACTTTCCTAGTTCATTCGTTCCTCTTTCTTCACATGGTATAGAGCGGGTTCCCTAGTGGGACCGTTTCTTCCTAAGGGCCCACCATTAAAAAAAAAAAAATCCTAACCTGCCCGAAGCGCGCTTCGCGCTCTGACCGACCCTACCTTTCGCGGCCCCTTAGCGGTCTGCCCTGCTCCTGAGGCCCGTCGCGGCCCCCCCTTTGCAGCCCCTTCGCGGCCCCTTCGCGGCCCCTTCGCGGCCCCTTAGCGGCCCCCATTCGCGGCCCCTTAGCGGCCCCTTCGCGAACCCTTCGCGGCCCCTTCGCAGCCCCTTCACGGCCCCTTTGCGGCCCCGTAGCGGCCCCTTCGCGGCCCCTTAGCGGCCCCTTCGCGGCCCCTTCGCGGCCCCGCCTCGTTGACCGTAGCGGCCCTGCCCCGTCGCCAGTCGCGGCTCCGCCCCGTCGCCACCCGGGTGTCGCCCCTGCCTCGTCGCGACGCCTCAGCGGGACCCGCGCGTCGCCCCCGCCTCGTCGCGACGCCCCTGCGGGACCCGCGAGGCGCAGCTCCGGCGTGTCGCGACGCCCCAACGGGACCCGGGCGTCGCCCCCGCTCCTCGCAATGCCCCTGCGGGACCCGCGCGGCGTCGCCCCTGCCCGCCGCGGTGCCCTGCCCTAACCCGCGCCCGACTTGCAGCAGCCGCCCCTGGCCCCTGGAGCAGTTGCCCTTGCAGCAGCCGCCCCTGCAGCAGCCGGCCCTTGCCCCTGGAGCAGCCGCTCCTGCAGCAGCCGCCCCTGGCCCCTAGAGCAGCCGCCCCTGGCCACTGGAGCAGCCGCCCCTGTAGCAGCCGCCCCTGGCCCCTGGAGCAGCCGCCTCTGCAGCAGCCGCCCCTGGCCCCTGGAGCAGCCGCCCCTGCAGCAGCCGCCCTTGGCCCCTGGAGCAGCCGCCCCTGGAGCAGCCGCCCCTGCAGCTGCCGCGGAGCCCTCGCCCTGCAGTGGTAGCGGCCTCAACATTGCCACCGTCGTACGCCTGCCCTTCTCGCCACTGGCGAGCACTGCCCTGCCCGTACTGCTGTTACTTCTGCTCCTGTTGCTACAGCTCTTTCTACTGCTATTGCTGCTCCTGGCGTGGCCAGATGCAGCTCCAGTGCCCTCCGCGTGATTCCCTCACGCCCCAACAGCTTCGTGAGTGGTACGATAGTTGGGGTTTTAGGGGTGGCCGCGCTGCTACTACTGCTACTGCTGCTACTGCTACTACTGCTGCTCCTGGCGGTGGCCATATGCAGCTCCAACGACGTCCGCGTGAGTCCCTCACGCCCCACGCTAGTTGGGGTTGTCAGGGTGGCCGTAGTGGGAGTCGTCCTAGAGTGAGTAGTTTGGGAGCTTCTTGTAGTGGCCAGGTGAGTCGTCTGCGCGCGGTCCTTTCGCCCCAGCAGCTTCGTGAGTGGTAAGCTCAGCGTGGAGGATCACGGGATACTGCTCGCTGCCCGTACGTCATTCGCACTGGTGCTCGGACTGGTCAGCCTTGTGGGACGTTTGGCCACACAGAGTCCAGCTGCTTCGCCCATCTGAGCGACGCCTGGCGTACAGAGTTTGGCGACGCGACTGAGCTCCCCCACTAGGTGGAGCTGCTTAGGCAGAGGGTAGATATCTATGCTCTTGACTATGATGCTATCCTCATTGCCATGTATGCATTGCCTCCTAGTGCTGAGGGTGCCTGTTACCTGTGTGGGCCGCCTGACCCCGGTATCCAGTCTGCTGCTCTAGGTACTGGTGAGGCTGCTGCTCTAGGTGCTGGTATGTCTCCTGCTTAAGGTGCTAGTGAGGCTGCTGCTCTAGGTGCTCGTGAGTCTACTACTCCAGGTGCTGGTGAGTCTGCTCTCTCGGGTACTGCGCCTACTGCGGTCTTACACACCTTCACCCTTGACTCGGGTGCTTCCCGCTCCTTCTTTCGAGACCGCACCACACTCACGCCGCTTAGTCGACCGGTTGCAGTCTCCCTGGCAGACCCCTCAGGGGGTCCTGTACTTGCCCACTACTCCACTGTTCTACTGTGTCCGGCGGCCCCCTGTGGC